CATATATGTCACATAGCCACAGTATATCACCTGTAACAAAAAGAAAAAAAAACCCTCCATCATCCAGAAACAACCATAGATAAGTTTGATAAGAAACAGCAGATTACAAAAAGAGGTAATTGATGAAAAAATTGCCCAGTTTGTTTATGCAACAAACTCTCCTTTCCGTATGATTGAGAACCCACACTTCATAAACATGGTTCAATCATTAAGACCAGTATACAGTCCACCCAACAGAGCAGATGTGGCATGCAAATTGCTGGATAAAGCGTATGAAAGAGAAATTGAGCAGTGTGCAAAAGGTCTAGGAGGGTGAAATTGTTAACCTGAGTCTTGATGGGTGAAGCAATGTCCACAATGGTCCTGTTGTATGTGCTTGTGTGACAACAGAAGAAGGGAATGTCTTCCTTATAGAAACAATTGATACATCAGGAAATGCACACACAGCAGAATACTTTCAAGAAGTAGTAGTAAAAGCTATAACAAACTGTGAAAAAAAAATTCAAATGTCTAGTACGCAGTTTGGTCACAGACAATGCTGCACATATATCCAAGATGAGAAGAAATTTAGAAGAGAGTGAAGAGAATTCCAAGCTAATAACATACGGTTGCAGTACTCATTTGCTGCACCTCCTAGCCAAAAACTTTAGTGTTCCAGAAATAAAGGCTAATGTTGTTGAAATTGCAAAATACTTCTGTAACAACCACTTTGCAGCAGCTGCTCTGAAAAGAGTGGGAGGAACCAAGCTAACTCTCCCACAAGACATGCGATGGAACTGGTAGTGGACTGTTTTGAGCACATATCAAGAACACCTTTAATTGGATGACAGTTTATTGAACAAAATCGTAAAAAAATAGATGGCACGGTCAACATTGGGCTTAAGAGAAATGTTGAACACGTGCTGAGTACTCTGAAGCCTATTTCTGTAGCTCTGAACAAAATGCAGGGAAATAGCTGTTTCATTGCTGACGCTGTTGAAATTTGAAAGGAACTGAGTGAGATCTTAAAAAGAAATATGCAAATTACAAGCAATAAAAAAACGAATGGGACAAGCACTATCTTCTGCTCATTTTCTTGCAAATATTCTCAATACTCGGTACCAGGATCAAACCTTAACTGCTGAAGAGGAGGAGTTGGCTATGACACAGACATCCAGCAATCATCCCTCCATAATGCCAAATATAATAAACTTCAGAGCTAAGGGTGAACCATTCAAGAAATATATGTTTGCTGATGATGTTTTAAAGAAAGTCACACCAGTGAACTGGTGGAAGTCACTTAAGCACTTGGATTCAGAGACTGTTGAAGTGATAATCTCACTTTTAACAGCAGTAGCTTCTTCTGCTGGTGTAGAAAGAATATTTTCTTCTTTTGGACTAATTCATTCCAAATTAAGAAATCATTTGGGACCTGAAAAAGCAGGAAAGCTTGTTTTTCTTTTCCAGATTATGAACAAACAGGAAAATGAAGGTGAAGACGACTGAGTTAGCTACAGAAGGAAATATTTTAAGTTTCTCATGTTGACCTGGCTGACACAGTCAATTTAATTTTTGTTGTTGTTGTTTTTTTTAATATTTCATTTAACTATTTTAGTTAAAAACAATTTTAACAAAAACAAACCTCAATGTTTAACTAAATTCAAAAATTCATATGCTTGTT